CCTAGGGGATGCCATCAGTTTCCAAGCCCAGCCTTGGAGAAGGCCCCAGACCCAGGGCCCAGTGGGCCAAACCGACCAAAAGTCCCTCTCCTGGAAAAGCTGACATTGGCCGCCCCTCCCTCCGGCCCTGTCTGGAGGCCTCAGACCCCAGGAGAGACACGATGCCCGTCTGTCAACAGATTTCCCAATGCACCCGGTGACACCTCGGCCCTGGCAAAAGCTCTGGGGCGCAAAGTGGGGTGAAAGTTGAGAGAATGAGCATGTAATAGTCCCTCTCCAGACCTCACACATGCTGAAGGATATTTACAGCAAACTTGCCAAAGTAAACTACCCCGCCCACCCACCACCAGCCCCTCCTTGCCTCTTGTTTTTTTTTTTTTTTTTTTTTTTTTTTTTTTAAACTTCAGATAAACACGATTCGGTCATCAAGGGGTCCATGTGTCCCCTTTGAGGGTTTGAGGCAGGTGGTGGCATTAAAGGAAAAGTGGAACCAGCGGTAGCTTCCCTGGCATATCTGGGCAAGGCTGGCTTCTCTGCAGCGCCCAGGGCCCGTACCAAGGATGGCTGCTCTGGCACTGTGGGTCACCTCCCCAATACCAAGTTAGTACGTCCAGCCTCCTACCATTAACCTTTGCAAACAAGCTCGTGTCCTGCGGACTCACAGAGTGGAGTTTTTAACTTACTATATTTTTTTTATTCTAGGCCTACCACTATGTAGAAACTTTTTTTTTGCTAAAGGTGTACAAAACTTTTGGGGTTCTTTCTGATCTACATCATGCGGCTGGTTTCTTCCTTTCTCTCCCCCTGCAGGCACAAGCCTCTTGCACTGTGTGAAGCAACAGCTCCAGGTTTCTTGTGTATCTTTTATTGAGCCTGCGGCCAAGGGAAACAAGATGAGGGGTTAGAGAGAGCGACAGAGCAAAAGAGGGAAGAAGAAGAAGGAAAAAAAAAAAAAAAATCCAGGCGCGCAGAGCCAGTGGCTGGAGCCTGAAGCCCGGGCTCAAGGCGCGGTGTCTCGCGGGCTCTGCCGGAGGCCGGGCCTGGCACAAGCCTCAGGAACGCGATGGCCAATATTTAACCCGAATGCCGTGGCCACCAGGCCGCTTTTGTTTGTTCGCAAATTAATCACCCAGCGCACGGCCGGCGCCAGAGTGGGTTTATCACCCACCAGGAGGGGGGCGCGGCGGGCACGCAGAGACAAAGAGGAGTTCGCACCTTCCCGCTTTTGATCCCAGAATTACGGCGGCCTCCCTGCATAATACGAGCCTCCTGGGGCCGAGTCTGGGAGGTCAGTCATAATTGGCGGAAGTTTGCAGACCATTAGCAAGACGTCGACATTTCGATTCAGAACCCCGCAAACTTTCCTCTCCCCACCCCCACGCCCCTGCGCGCAGGAGTGGGGGTGGGGGCCGAAGTGGAGAACTGGGGTGACCCCTGGGGTTAAGTTAGAACCACAGACAAGAGTGGGCGATGGGGGTGGGTGGGTAGGGTAAAGGTCAGGAAGCGCTCTGGGTCCACTTTGGAGGCCAAAGCAAGTGGAGATATTTACAAGAAACTCAGCAAGTACCTCTCCCATTTTCAAAGGACTGGGCAGGCCAGAATGCAGAGGAGCCGGGATGCCTGCCTATCTGCCTGGCTCTCAGGCCCTGGGGCATCGAGTGGGTGAGGAGGGGGCCGGTCCTGTTGTGATTGCAGAATTCCTGGCCTTCCACGGGACACAGCGGGCAGACTGGCCGGCGAGTGCAGGCAGAACCAGATCACGGGGATTTGGAGCCGATCTGGGTAGCACAGCCAGAGGCCCCAAGCCCCCCGGCAGCAAGCACTAGGGCCTCCGGCGCTTTGGGCCTCCGGAGACTCCCGAAGGTCCCTCGGGGACCTTGGCCTCCGGGGTGAGGAGGTTGAGGCCTGGTGTCCTGCTCCTTCCAGTACCGGGGAATGCTGGGGACCGAGAGGCAACACCGCGGGCCTCTCCACCTCTTTCTTTTCACTCTCCCTTTCTCTTTTCTCCACCGCAGGCAGAGAGGACAGACCCAAGGGGAATGAAAGGGGAGACCGAGTTCTCAGCACGCCTAGGTCCTCCTGGTGACTTCAGGGGATTCTCAGCGCTGGCGCCCAGCAAGTGCTCTGAACCATGTGCGTCAAAAATGCGAGGCTGGAAAAGCTCTGTCGCCTCAAAAGTTCCTCCTCTATCTTGGGGCACTTGGCTCACAACAGGACCTCACTGTTACCCAACAGTAGCTGCCACACTGGTGCCGGCAGACCAGGGGGCACCAGAAGCAAAATGCTTCAGAGGACAGAGCTGACCCGTAGACACAGACATCCCACATCAAGGGTCTCAGCCCCCTAGGCCCGGAGCCCGGCCCTTTCCATTCCAATAAGCTCACCTATCAGGAACAGCAAAAAGCATTGACCCCCAACATCTCCCTCTAACATCATCTAATCAGGGGCAACCTAAACTCGTGGCTCCCGCCCCCACCCCCACCCCAGAAGCCTGAACCGTGAGTTTGGGGGAAGCCTCCAACCCCCATAGGCAGGAGCTGCAGTAACAAGGTTATCAGTTGTGCGACAGGTCTGATCAGAGGTCGGGTCGCCTCCCGCCCCTCCGCCCTAGGCGGAGGCCCCCACCCTACCTGAGCTGGAACCAGTGCCTTTGCCTCTGGGGTGGGGGCGTTTCACGGTTTGTTTTACAAATTCACCCCCGACTTCTGGCGAGATAAGTGCCCCGGTGGAGAAAGAACTGAGGCTCCGAAAGATAAGTGCGATGCCTGGAGGAGATACGGGCTGGCGCCCCCCCCTCCAGCTCGCCCACCCCCCGCCCGCAGCGCCACACCGTGCCGGCCCCCGAGGTGAATGCAGTGGCGTGGAATGGACAGGCCAGGACCTCGTCGGTCGCTGCAATCACTTTGTCCAGAGCCTCCATTCTCCCCTCTACACCCTCACAGACATCCGGGTGGAATACCGGGAGCCCGCATCCACACGAAAGATGAGATATAAAAGGGTTGGTAAACGCGTTTCAAAATATCCCGAGTCCATCTCCCACAGGGAGCGCAGCCAGGGCCCGGCGCGAAGGCTGTGTACGTATCTGCTTGTACGTGTGGCTCGGCCCCAGTGTGTGGCGCGCGTTGGGGTACAGCGCACTGGGGGGTTTGGGGGCTGCGCACCTGGCCGCAGGTGGGGCACGGTGGAGAGCGGATAGGCACACTGGTGCCGGGATCTGGGCGCGTCCAGGCGCTCGAGTTTCCGCCAGCCCGGCCGGAGAGGCGAGCCGCGCCGGGGCGCACGAGCTCGGGGATCTTTACTTAGCTGCGACCGGGCGGAGCTCGGCTCCACGTGGGACTGGAGAGCGGCTGCTGCCTCCGAGTCTCCGCGGCCGCCGGCTTCGGTGGCGGGCGGCAGCGGAAAGGCGGCTCGCTGGAAGCTCAGCCGCCCGCTCGGCTCGCTCGCCGCGGGTGGACGCGGAGAAGAAGCCGAGCTGCCGAGCAGCGGCCGCGGCCGGGCTCAGCGGTGAGCCGAGCGCACGAGAGGCGAGCGCCCCTGCCCGGCGCCCCGGCGCGCTCCGCCCGGCTCTCGGGGCCGGCAGGCTGGCTCCCTCCTCCCTCCCTCCTCTCTGTCTCTTTCCCTCCCCCTTCCTCCTCTTGGCCCTGCCTCCTCCCTCGATCCGGGGCTGGGTGACTGAGGCATTTCAGACGTGGGCTGAGCCGGAGCGAGAGCGAGCGAGCTCACGGGCTACGGCGATCTCTCGATAAGCCACCTAGAGGCGACTCTGCGCGCGCGCTCCCCGGTGGCTCCCGCCCTCCCTCGGATCATGTTGACATATTCACAGGACGGGCAGTAGTACCGCTGCGGCGCTGCGACGTTACAGTTTCCGACACCTTCTTTTTATAACTCAGCTCTATCCCCCAGCACTCGACCTGTGATAACCACGCCTATGCAGCCACACAATTGGTCCGAAAGCGTCAAAGAGCCAATCAAGAGGCCTCCGGCTCCCCGCAGCCCACAGCGCAGCCCGACCTTCTAGAGCCGCCGAGCAGACGCCGGGGGAATTCTAGAGGCGGAGGAGGGTGGCGAGGAGCTCGCGCTCGCCTCTCCGCGCCCTCCCTCGCGCCCTCCCTCTCCTCGCCCGCTCCGGCTCCCTCTCGCTCCCTCTCCCGCTGCTCTTTTCCCTCCTTTGCATTTCTCCCTTCGCGATCCTTCCTGCCCTGCGCGCCCGGACGCAGATTTCCGAAGCGAATTCGCTCACGGTTTCAAACAAGGCAGAGAGAGAGAGGAGACCCGGCAGAGGCGCACGGCGAGATTGGGATTGAAACCGAGACGCCCTCTCCGCAGCTCCGAGCGGAGGAAGGAGGAGGCGGAGGAGGGCGGACGGAAGCCAGTTTGCATGCAGTTCAAGTTTTGATAGCGCTGGTTGGAAGGGGCTTAAATCCGCTTGTGTTGTTGTTTTTCTTAAAGGAGAGAGTTTTTCTGCTCTCTTGCTTCCTTGCTAAAGCCGAGTCCAGCGCCTTGGCAGAAGCCACCAGCGAGAAAGGGAGAGGAAGAGATAAGGGGGCGGGGGAAGAAGAAGAAGAAGAAGAAGAAAAGGTAAAAAGTCTTCCAGGAGAGCCGTTCGCGTGTGCAACAAAGACCTTGGGGGCTGGGGAGCGATCCGGGGACCGAGGGCTGCAGTGTCCGTCCCGAGCTCCGCGGCAGGGCTCCGGCGCGAGCTTCCGAAAGCGACTTCCACGGGCGGCTTTCTAAACACGCCAGGCTCCGCGACAGCCGCCCAGCGACTATGTCTCCTGATTTGTCGCCTTGCCCTCTTTAAGAAGCGGCACCCCCCCTCCCCAAAAGACAGTATCTTCCCTTCCTCTGAAGCGCTTTAGTTATTTCTTCCTCTTTTTGTTTTGTTTTGGTTTTTTTTTCCCCGCTTAAAAAAAATGTGCTGCTGCTGCTGCTGCTGCTGAAGGAAAAACAAAAATAAAAACAAAAGCAAACACGAGACCACAGCTGCGGACTTGTGCAGGCCCGGAGTGGATGAGCCTCTCCATGAGAGATCCGGTCATTCCTGGGACGAGTATGGCCTACCATCCGTTCCTACCCCACCGCGCGCCGGACTTCGCCATGAGCGCGGTGCTGGGCCACCAGCCGCCCTTCTTCCCCGCGCTGACGCTGCCTCCCAACGGCGCCACGGCGCTGTCGCTGCCCGGCGCCCTGGCCAAACCGATCATGGATCAATTGGTGGGGGCGGCCGAGACCGGCATTCCTTTCTCTTCCCTGGGGCCCCAGGCGCCTCTGAGGCCTCTGAAGGCCCTGGAGCCCGAAGAAGAGGTGGAGGATGACCCCAAGGTGCATCTGGAGGCCAAGGAACTTTGGGATCAGTTCCACAAGCGAGGCACGGAGATGGTCATTACCAAGTCCGGCAGGTAAGCCCGCGCCGGGAGCCCCCTCCCCTGAGCTGGCTGCAGATTTTTCCACCCGGGCTTCACCTCTGTTCCCAGAGTTGCCGCTTTGCCAGTTGTGCAAGCTTGGTCGAAAGCTTAGTTACCCTGAAAACGTGCACCGACTCACCGGGCCCTGCCCCAGCCGCAGGAAGTTTCAGCTTACCTGGGCGCCTGCTGGGCTCTTGCCTAGCCCTGCATCCTGGGCTCCAGTAAAGGACAGACAGGGATTTTTCAGTGGAATGCAGACATCCTTTTAGGAAGCAGGAAAACCTCCTCATTTGCAGGAAACTTTGCTGTTGGAACCTTTCTGGAATACCTTTAGCCTCACCGAAATGTGAGGATTTTTAAAAATGGGTTTTTATTTTCCTTTCAAGGAGAAAAGCTGAAAGCCCCTTTCTTTTGTGTGGTAGCGGGAGGCCTGAGAGTGTCCCCCCGCCCTTCTGCCCTTTCCTTTGGCCTCTGGGGCTGGAGGGGACCTGAGCCTGCTCTTCTAGGGTCGCAGAGAAATGGAATGGCGTTGGGGTTTGTTCACCACACAACTTCAAGTGGCTGTGACCCGAGGAGGAGCCCAGCAGGCAATTTTGGATAATTAAGATTTTTGTTTGCAGACCTAAGGAGCCAGTTAGGCTGTGCACGCTGCTTTGTGTGTGAATATTATAAATCATATTTTACACATCCTTTCGAGCTCCCTGCTTGACTGAGTCTTGCCTGGAAGACAGGGGAGCCCAGGGCAGTTTTAGAATCACTGATTTTTTTTTAAACACATAGCATTGAAGTTTATCGAGGCATCAAGTTGAAAGGTTAAAAATAAAGTTCCCCCTCTTGATGTCTTCAGCTTTCTTCTCTCCTTCCAAGCTAAATGAGGCCAAAGTTTGGCATAAACTCCTCCTCAAACCCACAAGACGGTGTAGTCAGTTCTCGAAGCGAAGTGCTTCCTTTTAAGTCAAAAGTACAAAATGCCAACACTCCTGTGAAAGTCAACAGCAGTGCGGTGGCACGATCCTGCAGTTTAGGGTTGGCCTAGGCAGTGGGGGACTGTAGCAAATAAACAGGAGGCACTGGAGTTCTCCAACCTGGAGTCCACGCTGATCCATTTCTTCCCGAGCACTTGCCCAAATCCAATCCCATTTCGCCAGCAGCGGGATGACCGCCTGGCAGCAGAGAGGGGTACCACGTTGAGTGTTTACTCCCCGGATGAGTTTACCATTTTTCTCATCAGTGGGTGTTGAAAATTCCTTCCTTCCACTGATCTGTGCTTTGCTAAAATCTTCCCCAAAGCTGTCTAGAACTAAATACACGCTGAAACAGACACGGACAGAAATTTCTCTGTACAGAGGGCAATCAGGAGTCACACAGAGGCTAAAAACTGAACAAGGCATTAGAGAAACATGGTGTCATGATTACTTGTTTTGAATCCGGGGACACCTACTTAGGCAGGAATTGGTTGTATTTACTACTGTGAGGAAGAAGACAGTTTAGCCCTTGGTTGCCCTGCTGTGACAAAGATTACCCGTTGGTCAGTCCCCACATACAGTTTTAAACTTAAAGTATTTGACGACGGATAAGAAGTAGAACTCCAGATTCTGAGAGATTTCTTTTTTTTCTCTCTTGCTTTTCTTTTCTATTTCCCGGTTATAGGCGAATGTTTCCTCCATTTAAAGTAAGATGCTCTGGACTAGATAAGAAGGCCAAATATATTTTATTGATGGACATTATAGCTGCTGATGATTGCCGATATAAATTTCATAATTCACGGTGGATGGTGGCGGGTAAGGCTGACCCTGAAATGCCAAAGCGAATGTATATTCACCCGGACAGCCCGGCTACCGGGGAGCAGTGGATGTCTAAAGTGGTCACCTTCCACAAACTGAAACTCACCAACAACATTTCCGACAAGCACGGGTTTGTAAGTTCCATTGTGTTCTCTTTTTGTCCCTCTCTCTCTCCAGTCAAAACTTTTTGCTTGACTTTCTCCAAACCCCGCACCCCCATTCCCCATAGCCTCCCATGAGCTTCAGCACAGACTTCTCTCCGTGGCTCGCTGTTGCTAAACATAGCAAACTTGTTTGATTTGCCACCGAGCAGGAGAGAGGATTCCGGGGTGTTTTCTCTCTGGGTAGTGGAAGGCCTGGTGTTCCACGAGAAGTCAAGCCAGGGAAATGTACCAGATTGTGTTCTATAGCAGCTCTAGCTTCTCAGCAGACGCTGGATCTGACCCTTGTTGTTTAAAAAAAAATAATTGAGAGCTAAAATTGATTTTAAAGCTATGTGATCGTGAAGGTTTTGTTTTGCTTTAGAACACTGTACTTCTCTTTGAAGTCTGCCGTATTATTTCTTGGGGGAGCTTAAGGTCTCAAAGCTTTGCCTTTGGTGAAAAGGTGGACATAGCTTATTGAAATTTCATTTTCTTTTACTAAAAGGCGATTGGCCTTGGTTGAGCTAGATTTATTAGAAATGAGGCATGGATCTTCGGTGTTAAAACTGGTGTTTTGGGATTGTACCCGTGGATCCCGTGTGAGAATGTCTAGAACCCAGCAGACTTCTGTGGCTGGGAAAACTCGGGCAGAGGCCCTTTTACCCCATCCCTTCCCCCTCCCCAACATTGCAAGAAAATAAACAAAGTGATAAGCAAGGAATAAGCAGAAAGATTAGTCCCAGGAAGACATGAATGGCGCGGAAATATCTTCAGCAGGCAGGAATTGCATTTGAAGTCCTTAATTTGATTACAGCATACATACTCCTCTCTAGAGTTCAGCTTTTGAGGGCTTTAAGTGGATTGGGCTCGTCAATTAGTGGGCGCTTAAAGTACTGAATCATTTTGTAAATTAAAATGCATGTTTTTCTCTATCTTTTAAGAATTGGCCAAGGGATCACGCAGCCTGGCAGGGGAGTTATAGTTTTGGGACTCAGGTAGGCTAGGGTTTAAGATATGAATGACTCTCTTAGATGGGGGGGCGCCCTTGGGAAGTTGAGGACCAATTTGGATTCCCCAGGAATCATATCTAATAATGTCTATGGAGCAGACTGTACCCCAGGAGTTACCCTTAGGAGGTGGGCTCCCAGTGTGGTACCCGGTGGTGGGGGAGACGGCAGCGTGGCAGGGGTCCTCAGATTCCGTTTGTCCTGGTAAATCCTTTTTCTGAGTGTGCCCCCTCTTCCCTTGCCCTGCAGACTATACTGAACTCCATGCACAAATACCAGCCCCGGTTCCACATCGTGAGAGCCAACGACATCTTGAAACTCCCTTATAGTACATTTCGGACTTATTTATTCCCTGAAACCGAATTCATCGCTGTGACTGCATACCAGAATGATAAGGTAACCACAGGACCTTTTCTGTTTTAATTCTGCTGTCTCCCTTAGCTCTTTTAAGCCGCTTTGGATGAGGGTGAGAAAGTTAAAGGGAACTGGGGTGCAAGGCTTGAATTTTCTTTCCCCATTGGACCTTCCATAGACAGTTTGGAAAAGCGGGGGCTGGCTTCTGCGAGGAGCCCGAAACAAAGCTCTCAGCCAGCTAGGAATCCAGGGCTGAGTTTAAAAATGCGAAATTAATGTTGTCAGTGAGAAGCTCTTCAGACTGTGGCGCTGGTGAAGCCACCCTAAGCCAGACTCCTAGGGCTCTGTCCTGTTTGTTTCAATAGCCGTCCTTTTCCCCTTCAAGAGGGAAGGATCAGGATAGCAGGTTTGAAAAGAACCAGCTAAAAAGTTTAGGCCAAAGCCTTTTGGGGTCCTGGGAGGAGAATCCTAGTGGAGAGACCAGCTTTTCTTCCCTAGCCAGAAATCCTGAGTAGCTGGTCTGGTTTTTATTACCTTTTATACTGCTCTGTTTTTTATGGTGTGTGTGTGTGTGTGTGTATGTGTGTAATTGAAAAAAAAATCTACCCTGACCACAGGTCATGCTAACCGAGTCCTCTGAAACTTCTCTCCACTGAAGGTAGCCAAGGGTGGCATTTCTTGGGAAAGTTTGTCTCCCTCTGGGCCTGATCTGGGGGTTTCAAGGGCCCTCAGATGGGGCAGTGTCTGTGAACTCCAGGTCTGATGGCCTTGAAGGTCATGGGCACTGAGCACCCAGGCTGAGAGAGTTCCTGTGGGGCACTCGGTGACAGGCAGCCATGGAGGTGGGGGAAGGGCTGGGGAAGGACTCTGCTCTGGGCTCCGGCCTGAGTCCTGGCCTGCAGCAAGAGTCCATTTCACCTGACCACGCCCTGTTAGATTGACCACGGGTGGGGTCACTGTTCGAGGGTCCCTATGGATTTACAGTGGGGTTCCAATGTGGGGGGGCACACTGAAATCTCACCCCCTCCTCACCTAGCCAAATGCCAGACCAGAATTTTTGCATCCAGTAATTTCTCTCAAGAACAAGAATCCAAGCAAGGGGCTTTTTTCCACCCCTACCCCAGTAACTGTGTTTGTAACTCTTGGCTTCAGGGGAAGGGGTTTGAAAGGTTGCAAGCTGTGACTTCTCTCTCCTCCGGCTTGCAAAATGCCCAAAATGCCCACCCTCCCGCCTCCAGCCTCGGGATCCCGTGAAACTAAGTTGTGAATGTACTAATAAATGTAGCATTTCTGATCAGACCAAAAGGCCAAGGTTCCCTCTCCACCTAATGGCAGTGGCAGAATACATAAATGAAAACAAATGTTTCCCGGTCATTCGCTGCTTTTAAATCTGTAGTTGCCAATATTGTAATTCCTCAAACCACCACTGCTCCCTGTCCTCCACTCAAAAAAAAAAAAAAAAAAAAAAAAAAAAAAAAATCAAAATCTCTCCAGCACAAGGGTAGCAAAGGCCCATAAATCATTTTATTAGGTCCATGGAAAAGGTTGGCTAGAGTGTGTGCTGGATTGTGTGTATGTGTGTGTGCATGTGTGTGCATGCCTGAGCCAGCACATGTGTGTGCCTGTGTTTGAAGGCAGGAGAGTATTTGTGAGCACTTTATAATTAATTGCATTATATAAAAAAATCAATAAAAATACAATTTTCAAGGCTTACAGTTGTCTTTCTTGACAACTTGGAGGCCTTTTGCATTTCTAAAGGCGAGCTGTGTACGTGAAACTCTATCCTTTGGACAACTTCAGACCAGAACCCTTGGCTTGACCTGCGATGGGCCATACAAACCCCATTACAGTTCGTTTTGCTGCTTTTCCTTGCAGCCTCCAGATTTTTGCAATGGTCTCCCCTCCCTTTCTTCTTCACCTGGGATATCCTGGGATATCTGTGGGCAGTCCCATTTCTGGGGGCCTGTTGTGCTGGGAGAATCCCCCTAGGAAACATTCTAGAAACTGAAGCCTGTGTCTCTTTCTTGCTTGTGTCTTCTCTAGATAACTCAGTTAAAAATAGACAACAACCCATTTGCAAAAGGTTTTCGAGACACTGGAAATGGCAGGAGAGAAAAAAGGTAAGTGGAGATAGTCATTTCTCGGACAGTTTATAAAACAAACCAGTTTTCTAGAATTCAACTTGCAAGCGTTCCTAGACCGAGAGGCAAGCACTCACACTAAGAATGGGTGGAAAAGTTTACGCTCTTACCCTTGTATAAGCACCTTTTCTACCTACTTCTGTGACCTCTGAGGAAACTAACTAGGCTACCCTGGTTGTCTCTGGAAGAAAGCAGTGTGGATAACAGATTCTACAAGATCCCTATTAATTGTTAATTAATTTAAGTTCCATGTGGAAGGTTCTAGGAAACCATGCCATTCACACAGTGCTTTTGGCATTTTTGCAATCTTGTCTCCCAAATACCATCAGACAGAGTGGGGGCCCCTTGAGGAATCTCTGGCTCCCTCCCTCTCTCACGGGTACACAGATCATTTTGCATTAAGTAGACAGCTGGGGATATATATGAGAGACGCCCTCCTCCTACCCCTCTGTTCAGATTTTTCTCCTGAAAGCCAGAAAGTTACCCCTAAATTTTTAGCCCGTCCCCTCGGAGAAGAGGGTGAACATTAAAAAATAATTTCTAACATCTAAATAAATTTGAACTCCAAATAATGTGTTGGTTCACTGATTACGATCCAGTGCACCATGAAACAACCACTTCCTCCTGACCTTAGACTCCATGCAGGAGCTGGGTAGGCTGGGGACAGGTCACCCGGTTCCACCCTCTGTAGGACCTGCACTTCAACTGTCTCTAGCCACCTTCAGCCTTTCTTGCTCTTGTGTTAGACAGAATTTCACAGCCCAAGCAAAAGCATTTTCCTGATATCTTGCCCTATGGCCATACTCTTTGGCCTGGTTAAGGAGTTAACAATGCCAGGCCTTGTGTGTCTGCCCCGGGTAACTGGATTTCAGAAAATAAGTATGAGGTGTGGATGTGGCTTTGCAAAGGGCAAGGCAAGTTCAGAAGGGATCTGTGTGTGACATCCCTGTGACACTGGGTGTGGGCTTCCACCTGCAGAAAGCAGCTCACCCTACAGTCCATGAGAGTGTTTGATGAGCGACACAAGAAGGAGAACGGGACCTCGGATGAGTCCTCCAGTGAACACGCGACCTTCAGCTGCTTTGCCCAGGCGTCTTCGCCAGCAGTGTCCACTGTAGGGACCTCGAACCTCAAAGGTAAGCCTGGCCACCTGTACTGTGACTGGACTCCAGGTTAGAAGCCACAGCCTCTTGTAGATCTGTAAACAGAAGCCAAAGGTCAGACAGGGCATCAGGTGTGTCCAGGCTTCCTAGAGAGCACAGGAGAGCTGGGAACCCCCTCCCCAAATCCTCATGTGCGTGTCTGCATGTGTGCGTGTATGTGCACACTGTGTGGCCTGCTGGCATGATGAGCTGTGGGAGAACCCCTAAAGTGTCCCCTGCTTTCCCTTCTCTCCTTTTTCTGTGTCTGCCTGCCCCCTCCCCCAACCAAGACCACCTCCAGCGCTGACTTTATTTACCTCCAGGGCTCCGGAGGGATTCTCAGCCCCCAGAAACAAAGGAGGGGTCGAGACACCAACTGGAAAGCCACAGTTGACCCAGGGGTTGGGGTGGGTGGGTCCCTGGGAACCTCACTGTGGGGCGGGGCGGGGCAGCGGAGGAGAGGGTTCAGGTCCTCAGTGGGTTCCCTCTTTAAAAAGCAGGACCCCATTTATTTGGGAAGGCAAACTCTTGAGAAGAAGCCTGTTTCTCAGTTAAATAAGACAAGAGCCCTTTAGGTCTTCAACCCATTGAAGCTTGAAACAGAAAAGAGGACCCCTTTTTTTCTGGTTTTTTGTTTGTTTCCTGATAGGACACCCACAGAAGCAAAAGATTCTGTGATTGCCCCAGGCTCCTGCAGCCATCTCCAGGGAGGGGGACCCCAGCCCTGAAGGCCCCCTGGAGCGAAGGGTGCTGCAGGGGAAGGGTGTTTGCTTCAATCACTGCCTATTTAGACCTCCGGGTTCTCTTCAAACAAATCTTAGCAGAATTTCCATCCGCAAATGGTGGAAGGTGCTCGTCTGGGTCATTCACCAAAGAAAGACCCTGATGGTACCTGGAATGTGTCCCCACAAAGACCTTTAGAGCAACTTTCAGCAGAAACCTTTCAAGTTTTTTTAATTTTTAAAACGTCAATTTGCAATCAAATGGTTCCCCCTCGGCCACACAGCAGGAATTCCATAGGGGCTTGTTTTTAGCAAAAGATCATTATAATAAGAAGGGCCACCGATTTACAGGATGTTTGGCTGAGGGAGGTTAAGAGGGGTGTAAACTACTTTGAATTCATTATGAACTTGATTGAATCCGGGACCAAAGGCGTTAAAGTGTCCTAGAGGCCATTTTGCAGATGAGAAAACTGAGGGGTCCAAGGGCGCTCCTGAGGTTCCCACGAGAGAGCAGATTGGTGATGGCCCAGGCCAAGCTAACCCTTCCTCCGGGGTTTTAGACCTGTGTCCCAGCGAAGCCGAGAGTGACGCCGAGGCGGAGAGCAAGGAGGAGCACGTCCCAGAGACCTGCGACGCGGCCAAGATCTCCACCACCACGTCGGAGGAGCCGAGCCGCGACAAGGGCAGCCCGGCCGCCCTCAAGCCGCACCTCTTCGGGGCCGAGCCCAGCGGCCGGGCCCGGGACAGCGGGCGACCGGACAAGGCGTCCCCAGACTCGCGCCACAGCCCGGCCACCATCTCGTCCAGCACCCGCGGCCCGGGCGCGGAGGAGCGCAGGAGCCCGGGCGCGGCGGTGGCCAAGGCCGAGGAGGCGCGCGTGCTGCCCGGCAAGGAGGCCTTTGCGCCGCTGCCCGTGCACTCGGACGCGGCCACTGCGCACTTGCAGGGCCCGCTGCCCGGCCTCGGCTTCGCCCCGGGCCTGGCTGGCCAGCAGTTCTTCAACGGGCACCCGCTCTTCCTGCACCCCAGCCAGTTCGCCATGGGCGGCGCCTTCTCCAGCATGGCCGCGGGCATGGGGCCCCTGCTGGCCACCGTGTCCGGCGCGTCCTCCGGTGGCGTCTCCGGCCTGGACTCCACCGCCATGGCCTCCGCGGCCGCGGCGCAGGGACTGTCTGGGGCCTCCGCGGCCACCCTGCCTTTCCACCTCCAGCAGCACGTCCTGGCCTCCCAGGTAAGCCCGCGCCTTCCTGCCTCTGCAGCCCCTCCCCCTCCCTGCCCGCTCTCCCCGCCCTCCGGGGTTCCAGGCCCCCTCCCCCAACCCTCTGGCTTGATGGCTTTAAATAACAATCATGTTCTAATTACTTGTATTGACCGTTCGAGCCATCCTGAACTCATCTGCCCTCCCAGAAATGTTTTTCTAAGGCCTCTAGGTCCAAAATAGTACCCAGGATAACAGCTCCACATAGTCAGCAGTGAGGACCAGGACCTCTTCCAGCTGCTGGGTCCGGTCTGATTCGTTGGGGCTTGTCCTTCCGGGAAACTTTTAGCACCTCTGCTTTTCAGGTGGAGGGAAAGAGGCCCAGAGATGTTGAGGAACTTGGCTAAGGTCACACAGCCCGTCCCTGGTGGAGCTGAGACTGTTCCCAGGCAGGCTGACACCAGAGTTGCTTTCATGGCTTTTTTTTTTTTTTTTTTGGTTTTGGAATTTTTTTTTTTCTTGAGAGCTGCAATGTCTCTGAAAGGTGTCTTAGACACTACTGCCCCAGGAATTGGACAAGAGAGCGACTGAGGCTGGGGAAAGGACATGAGCAGCTTTTCCTTGCTAGGGGTTCAGAGCTGCCTTCCCTACCCCCAGGTCATCTACTCCCACCCCCTGCTTTGGTTAAGGGTTTCTGCACTCGTGGAACCCATAGGAGTGGGTCAGGACTGCACCCACAGACAGCTGTGCTAGGGTGCAGGATGGCGGGGAGAAGGCTCAGGCTGTCCGGCATGCCTTGAACCGGGCAAAGGGTGTCTGGGGTTTCTGCAGGCACTGGGCTTTTGTTTTGGGTAAGCACATCTCTCCCTTCCCAAGCCGGGAGGCAGGTTGGCTCCGGGTCCTGGGAGGAGGGAGGTGAGTGTAGCCTAGGTTTCTCCCTGCCTGCCTCAGTTTCTCCTGCAGGAAAGCTCCTCCCAGTGGGCAGCGGACAGGCAGGGCAGCCCTTCCTCAGGGGAGGGGACAGAAGCGGAGCCCCTGCCTTGTGCATTTTGCTTCTTTCCAGACTGCCTGGGGGCCATCTCCGTATCCCACCTTAACCCCCCCCTTCAGGGATTGCTTGGGCTCTGCTGGTGCCAGATGTCCTTTGGCCTCCCCCTTCCTGTTTGCTTCAGTGTCCCATCTTTTTTTCCCCCCAATTTGGGAAACTCTTAGGATTGGAGTGAGAGCATCTGGGGGAGGACCCGAATGACAAAAGTCAGTGATCTGTGATAACCTGGGTCCTCCTGTGCGCACCCCCACCCCGCCTGCAGCCACCGAGGGGCGTCCTGATCCAGGTCCCCAGAGCAGGTGCAGCCACCACCCGCCCCCTTGCGGGGCCAGGTCCATCCTCCAGGCCTCCTGCAGGCCAGCCGAGCTGACTCGCCGTGTCCTCTCTCTTCCCTCCCCAGGGCCTGGCCATGTCGCCCTTCGGAAGCCTGTTCCCCTACCCCTACACCTACATGGCGGCGGCGGCGGCCGCGTCCTCGGCGGCGGCCTCCAGCTCCGTGCACCGCCACCCCTTCCTCAGCCTCAACAGCCTGCGCCCGCGGCTGCGCTACAGCCCCTACTCCATCCCCGTGCCGGTGCCCGACGGCGGCGGCCTGCTCGCCACCGCGCTGCCGGCCATGGCCGCGGGGCCCCTGGACGCCAAAGCCGCCCTGGCCGCCAGCCCCGCCTCGGTCGCCGCGGTGGACTCGGGCTCGGAGCTGAACAGCCGCTCCTCCACGCTGTCCTCCAGCTCCGTGTCCCTGTCGCCCAAACTCTGCTCGGAGAAAGAGGCGGCCAGCAGCGAACTGCAGAGTATCCAGCGGCTGGTCAGCGGCTTGGAAGCCAAGTCCGAGAGGTCCCGCAGCGAGTCCCCCTAAACCCTCCCCGGCAAAGTCTCTTCATTCCAGTCCAATCAAGTCTGCATTGCACTTTCCTTTGGATGTAAAACAAACCACAGGGCGGCTGTGGGCTTCCCCTAGCTCTGGGGCCGGTGTCTGGGGAGGGGCGCCGGACTCCCTGGAGAGCCTGCGCTGCAGCCAGGCCCTGTCTTCTCAGTGTGGTTTATGTATCCGGGATCTGGCTCGCATTCTGGGGGCTCGGAAGCGTCTGTTGCATTGAGCAATGGGGGGCAGTGGCGGCTGGGGGGGAGGGCATTTGATTCCAGAACGACTTCCTTGAGGCTGTTCTGGAGGCTGTGAGGCCACCCGGGAGGAGGGGAGGTGTTGAAAGCTATCTTCTCTCCACGTGGATTTATATATAAATATATTTTTTTCCTTCGCTCTGTCAAGTGGAAACAAAAATCTAAAAAAAAATTTTTTTAAACAGGGACAAATGAATACATGACCATGATTCTGTTTGTAAAGATTGAAAACTTTATAGAGAGCGAGTGACTTGGGAAGAATCAGTTCTCAGCAAATGGCTGGGCTGAGGATGTTGGGGGTGGCAGGTCCTTTCTCTTCTTGTTTAATCTATATTAAGGAAATCTGTGTCTTTTTAATATTCTCGTGATGTTTTAAGAGCCGCTGTAGGTCTCTTCCTGCATGTTCCACAGTCATGTATTTGTGGGTTTTCATTTTGGATGCTTGCTTTAGAGAGAACGATTTAACCCCATCCGGTTGCCTTCCCTCAATCCTGTGCCCTGAACCCCAAAGAAATGGGATGGGGGGGCTTCCAGGGAAGGGCTTGGGAAAAGAAAGACTGAATTTATTTTATCTAAGCTCTGTAGCAGGATTCATGTTCCTCTCTGGCAGTTCGTTCTCTTTCCTGTATATGCAATAACAAGGTTTTAAAAAAATAATAAAGAAGAAGCGAGACTATTAGACAAAGTATTTATGTAATTATTCGATAACTCTTGTAAATACGTGGAATATGAATGCTCGGAAAATTAAAGCTTTTAATTTATTGACAATTGTACATAGCTTTATGTAAATAGGTTTGCCTCTGTCAGGTTTTGTTCTTGTTTCTTGTAGTTGGTTTTTATTTCCAGGTCAAAGGATTGCTGTTCACACTAGGAGACAGTCTTCCTGCACCAACACCTACACACTTTGAGAAAGAGCTGTCTGCAAAATTATTTTTCTTTTTCGTTTTTTTTTTTCATGTCCAAGAGTACAGGGAAAGTGCTATTTCCTATTTTAGCCAAAACTGGGGAGGGGTTTGGCACTTCCCGGCTTCACATTAAATTCCTTAAGATCTAACACCCCCTATCTCCACCCCGGCCGGGGTCTGAGATTGCTGTGGGAGGGAGGGGCTGTGGTTTGACTCCTTAAGTTTTCTTTCATATTTGTATTTGCTAGTCTCTGATTTCCTCAAAACAAAGCGGAATTTACTGTTGTCAAATTTGATGGCGTTTTGCGTTGGTGCCTAAGAGAGGGAAAGAGAGATTCATAGTTCAAAAGTTACATGCTCAGAGCTGGTTTGGAAAGACAAAAACACATGAAGGTTATCTTTGTGTTTTAGCTGTTGATGAGTTCTTTGGTTTTTCTGTGTTTCCCCCCCTCTTTAAAACATCACTGAAATTTCAATAAATTTTTATTGAAATACCTTTGGGCCTCGTGTTAAATGCTTATTTGACAGCTCTCCGAGAACATAGAGACCAGAAAAGGACTTGGTCTCCTTTTGCCGGCCTCCTTCCCTTCGCCTTTAAATAATTAAGACCGCCCCCAGCGAAGCAAACAACTTGTCACTCAAGTTACAAAGCTAAAAACAAAAGTCCCTGACTCCAGCGTGGGGAACCGCTCCAAATCTGAAAACACTTTTCCTTTAAATTAGGATGCAACCCCGAGACAAGTGGGTCCTGATTAGAATTCAGGAAGGACACTCCTTTCAGGTACTTAAACTTTAATAAAAAGTTGTGCCTTGGTCCCTAAGTCAGGGCCCCCTGCTACAGGAATCGAACCAAAAATTAAGCTTGAGTGCTGGGACTGCTTATTTGTTTTAAAGTAGGTACTCCCTTTTGACTTTGATCTAGGAGATTCAAGTCAAAAATTCTGCATGATGTCCTTGGCCAGGGAAGAGGTCCTCAGAAGCCCCGCGCTTCGGAACCCGGGTCGGCCTGCCGGCGCCCTCTGGGCTGTGGGCCCTGAGCCTTGGCTTTCCAAGCATCTCCGAGGGGACCAGGCTGGCCCCAGAAGCTCGGGCAGGCTGCACCCACTCGCAGTCTGGTACGTGCTCTGCACTGTGTGTCATGCGAGGCAGGAGGCACGTGTTCCTTGCAAAGGGAAGGTACTTCCAGAGTGCAAACTGGACCAACCTCCTCCAAAGGAAAAGCAGCCCTGGAGACCCGCATGGTCCCCAATGCTGCCCTGCATCTAGCTTCAGGCAGCTCCGTCTATCTTTGAAATAGCCGATTAAAAAACAGCTTTTCGGTGGAGGTGTGCGTATGTCTTGGGGTGCAGGGTACAACAAGGGAAGGCCAGTCCTAAACTTAGCCGTCCTGGGGGCGTTGATGTGAAGACACAGCCAGAGCCTGCTGGTGACTGACTCCCCACCCCCACCCTGGAGCCCGCCAGCCGGGCCCCAAGTCTCTGTCACCTTCAGGCTTCTTGAATAGCCGGTGAGGAGGGACCCCCTCCCCAGCTTGTCTGTACTTGGAAGAGGACCGAGGTCGAGACCTTTAGGAGGGGGTGCCGAGCCTGTCCATATCTGACTACACAAGTGGGGACCGCCCCCCCCCAGTCTCTCCTGCACTGTCTGCCGGAATCAGAGGGCCGATAGCTGGCGTGGTGGAGGATGGCTGGGGACTTTTGGGGTCAGAGCTCCCTGGAGAGACTCCCCAGCGTGCACCCCACACACCGCGGCGGCTGCTGCCAATTGAAGCCGGGTTTGGGAAGCAAAACCCGCCTTGGCGCAGCTGGGCGAAGGTGTGATCCGAAGGCTGTGTCCAGTTTCGTGGTTCCAAATTGAGGAGAAAATAACTCGGTTTCCAAGAGGGACAAAAAAAAATTTTTTTTTTTTGCCTTTTCTTTCTCAGTCTATATTTAGATACTTCTTCCATCCCCCAAATTTGGGGACGGCGCTCAAAAGTGGGTGCTGCCTCTTCCTTTTTTCTCTAATCTCCTGGATATCTTATTTGTGTACAGTGATGTTAATGAGTAACTCTTGTGGCGCTGATGGACGGGGGTGGTGGATGGCTCGAAATCTCTGGCTTTCCGAGCGTATTACTCACCTGGCGCCGGTCGCAATCTCGCCCCGGGCTTTATGGTGGCTGTGGCGGCCGCCCAGGCCACTCGGGGCCGGGCCTTGGCCACTTTCCCTGGGCTTCGAGTGCCACCTATCTGTCTGCTCTACCAGTGCGCCCTGGTGGCTGCCTCCCGCCCAGCACCCCAGTGCCTCTTGGGGTCCGGAACACGAGCGCGGTGTCTGTGTCCCCTTTCTCCTCCCCACCACCCCAGCCCACAGCCCACACCCCACACGCCCACCCCCCAGCCCCAGCCTCGGACGAAGCGGCCACTGTTTCTTTCCTGGACATTGCTTTAATTTCCATTTGGGCCCCAGAGGAGAAAAAGTCCTCCCCTCTCCTTCGGGTTTGCAAAGAATGTTCGGAAATTCAGCGTGGGGACCATCGCTGGTAATTCTCTCTCCAAACACTTGGCCAGTCCCTGTAGAAATCTGTGGAGCCCAGCGTCAGGGGGCGACCTGCATTTGAGATGAGCGGATGATGCCCTGCCCTTGCAACCTCGAGCCCCTCACCTGGGTGGGGGTTACGCCCCTTTGCCTCCACGCTCGCGTGCTGACTTTCTAATTCTGCAAATTTTCGTTTTGTAAACCCGGTTTGAGGCTGCAGGGACGAAGGCCACAGTGACTCGGGTGGTGGTCACCACCAGCCAGCCAGCCAGCCAGCCAGCCAGCCCAGCGACGTGGCGACTTGCAGACTGAAGGCGACCAAGTCGGGTGCCATCCCGAGCCCCCTTCCCGCCCCTGCCCGCCCTCGCGCGTCGGCTCCGAGCCTGGCTGCGCCCTGGCGTCTGGGTCGGAGGGGCGGGGTGGGGTCGCCTTCTGCCGCGCTTTGAGCCGCGGGTGCAGGCGTCCTGGTTCCTGCTGACCTCCGGGCGCTAATTGCAGGGGTCGAAGGGCGCTCTGGGGCGGAGGCAGAGGTCACGACCCGCAACTCCCCTCTCCGGGCTTGCCGCAATCCCGAAGGAGCGAGGAGTGTGTGCAGGCTGGGATGTGTGTGTGTGTGTGTGTGTGTGTGTGTATTACGCGTGCGCGCCTGTGTAAAAGATCTCTCTCTGGACCTGCACTGTCCTGTGTCCTGGGACCCAGCCTTTGCGTGCATGCATGTGTGCCTATGTATGTGTGTGTGTATTTGTAGGGAAGTTCCCTAAGAATAGGGCCTTAAAAAAAAGTCCATCCAAAAACACAAACTCGGGTTCTGACCACTCTCTGAACCTGTGGATGGCACAGCTTGGGCACTGCCAGAGCACTTTCTGCATCCTCCCTGGTTTCTAAATTTGACCTCTCGACTGTCAGCTAGGACAGGGGTTGTTGGGGTGTAGTTCCGATGGCCGTGGGACCTTTGCTCTTACAAAGGGAGCTATAGAAGTTCATGGTGTTAGATGGTAGCTCTTAGGGCATTTAGAGTGAGGCTAGGAACTACAGGTGTTGAGGAAGATGTGTGTGTGTGTGTGTGTGTGTGTGTGTGTATGAGAGAGAGAGAGAGAGAGAGAGTGTGGGTGTGCACGTGTACTCCGGCACGCTGCATCTGTACACGTCTCTTCCAATTTGGATTTAGGAGTTCAAGCGCGAGACAGTTCCGGATGCAGATGCATTGAGTTGTTTTATAATCAAGATGCGTATAATCAAGAAGTATATGTTGCAGATGTGAGCATTCAGAGAACCCACAACCACGTCATAAGACCAGCTGGCACTGGAGGGCATGTGCGTGTGCTGGGCACCCCACAAAAATGACCCCCTAAAGCCTTCCCGGTTGACAGATTGGAGTACAGGATTTTAATGCTGTTTAAGAACGGTCAGGTCACTTACCTAGAGTTATCATCATGGGAAAGTGGCCATTAAAGTCCAACACGGAGGGCAGCAGGACACCCACTGATCACCATTCCTACATTAGAGGGAGGCGTGGATGCTGTGAGGAGCAAGTCCCGGCTGCAGAGAAATCTTTGCGTGTGCCGGGGGTGGCAGTGTGTCTGTCTCCACAGGAATTCACAGGAGTATTTCAGTGTCTTTGGAAATCTACTGTGCAGTGGGAAAGAGCGCTTTCCTTCCCATTCCCGTCTTCTGGGTCCTGAAACGCAGATGGCCAGGGGTTAGGGCCCTTTTGCCAGGTAAGTGGAGGCATCTCAAAATACCTGCTGGTGGGCATCAACAGAAAAGGCAGACAGGGACAGACTTTGGACAGGAGTGGGCATGCATGACCTTTCCAACAACACCTTTTTTCTCTCGGGCCAGTTTGGGGAGCAGAACTGGGCTTTCCAATTCCAGCTTCAGGTCCTCTCTGTGTCCTGGTATTTACTGCACTCTTGAGGGCCCCAGGCAGGTGCCAAGGTGCGGGGGTGGGGGTGCAGCGGACACAAAGATGGTTGATCCTTTCCTGGCTTGACCCTGCCTGCCCAGCTCCTAAGCAAATGTGGTTTCCCCTTCCCTCCCGCTTCCAGTTCTCTGGCTCCAGTCGGAAGCTGGGGACTTGTCCACTGGAGACCGGGATTCCACCAAGAAGCCGGAGACTCCCGGCTGGATGTGTGCAGTCTGCAACCTGGACAATCTGAGCCCCGATCACTCACCCAGAAGCAAGGCCCAGGTCTGGCTGCAGACTGAGCAAGGATGAAGTTGGACAGCCTTGGCATCCAGAACCTCAGATTTGGGTCAGTCCCTGGAATGGGGTGCAAAAGTTGGGAGGGGGAAAGGGGTGTCAAGGGGTATTGTAACCTGGATGGGACCCTCGGAGCCCTCGGCTTCCCCCACCCCCAGCCACCCTGTCCTCCTCCGCCGCAGTCAGCCAGTCTATTTGAGCTTTTGAAATGCGATCCCTGTGCCACTTTGGTTTCCCCGCTAATGACCCAGGCTCGGGTTTCGGTTGCGGATTGCACCCGGAGGAGGGAGACCAGGCAGCTTCCCCAGCCCCACAGCAGCCCCGGCTGCCCCGGCCTGGGCTCTTCCCACCGGCGGGGTGGGCCCAGCAAAGCCCATTCTTTCCAAGGTTCTCTGTCTCAAGGACAACGCGTCCACCCAGCTGACACCCGGCTCGAACAAACTTCCGGCTGCTCTTGGTTGGCTCCGTGGCCCTTCACCCCAGTCCCTGGTGTCGGCATCATTGATGTCACTTTGTGCTGGGATTGGGAGTCAGTGGTCTCAGGTCACACCCCACCCCACGACCCTCCCCAGCCTGGCAGACGCCTGGGCAGAAGAGCTGATGGTGGCAGGCAGTGCTGCCTGGGCTGGCCAAGACCTGGACTCCGGGGGGCCACTGTCCTGCAGACCAGGGGTGACTTCAGTTCATTGGCCATTCCCCAGCCTCCACCCTGGTGACCCCTAAACTCACACACCCAAGTTTGCCAATGTATGCAAGTTCATTTCAGAGATACCTCCATCCCAACTAAATGAAAACTCTCAGAAATGGCGAATGGAGCTGAGCTAGAATTTAATTTAAGACTCAGTTTCCATCTCGCCCTCTCCTTATTTTGAACAACCCAATTCTGGACCAAGAAAGGGCCTAGGGCACTGTATAATTACCTGATTGAGTAATGACACAAACTTATCAACCCAATACTTATGAATGGTCATTGTCACCCTCAATGAGTTCTGTGTTAATTTCCTGTCACCAGGGTCACTCTCCCCTGGTTATCACAGGTCATAAAAGGAAACCACTTTTCATAAAAACAAAATTCCTGTTTACTAGGTGTCCCCTGCCCACCTCAAGATCAAGGGTAAGAGGATTCACAGGGGAGGTCTCCTTTGTGGGGAGACTAGGGCTGTCCTGGTGGGGGGCTTCCTGGCTTCTCTGTACATCACAGTGATATAATTTGGTTCAGGGTAGGTTTCATTTTCTTCTGGAGCTTTGGAAAAAAGATTTAGTTTTTTTCACTAAAGCCACCTGGTGGAGCCAGGGGTTCTGAATATTGGAAGGTAGGTGTGGGCACCACAGAGGGGCATCCTTGGGCTTCTGAGGGTCATCTGGACCTTTTTCTCAAGCCAAAATTAACAAGGTGAAGGCTGTGTCTTTTCCTGCAGATAATTCCTTTTATTTTTATTGTCCAGAACAAAGTAAGCACTTACCCAAGACATGTGTGTGGGTCTAGCCCCGAAATGTCCCCAGGGCCCTCTAATTTGTCAGGCAGAGGTTACAGCCGGTCTATGTTCTGCCATCCCTTTGCTTTGGTCTCTCCCTTCATGCTCAGGCAAACACAGCAACAGCACATGAAAATTCACAGACACAGAGAAGCAGCCTGCAGGCGCCCAGCAGTTCAAAGGAGGAGGGGCTCCTTCTTTGCTGCTCTCTGATAAAGCAGGACCCAGGGGCGGCCCCTCTCGCTCCCAGGCTCAGCCTAAATAAATGCTTTTTGGATGTCCAGGCCATGCAGAATGGATTTCTTCTTGGTTTCAAGCTGAGATTGATCTTAAGAGGATGCAAACTGAGGCGCCATCAGCACCCCCAGCACCCACGTTTCAGCCCCCAACCACGCATTGCTCACCAGCTGCTCTTCCTTTGCAGACTCTGGAAGGCAAATCACAAGAACATTGTGATTCTGTGCCCGGCCGGAACCCCGGAACACAGCCTTTTCTCTCTGTGTCACTTCTGCGGTGGTTTGAGTTGACATTACAATTCTCCAGGAGTTTTCTCCTGATTTCTTGGAACATCCTGGTGTCCGAGCTAGGGCAGAGAGTTCAAAACAGGAAGGAGGGAGCCGCAGTCGGTCAGCACTGAGACTGGCTGGGTTCCTGCCCAGGGGAGAAGAATCTCAGCTACCTGTTTTGCAGAGCGCAGGGAAGGGATGCACGAATGTAACTTTCCAGCCGGACGCCTGGGCCCTTTCTTAGGCTGTTCCTTTGCCGCCACCTGCTGGTTGGATGGGGACGTGCAAAAGACTTTTCTCGTACCTATGGGACGCCATCTTCATTCATTCATTCATTCAAAAAATCATGATGATTGAGACGATTTATCACGCTTTCCAGTGTCGGGAACATCATGTCTGTTCTCTAGCAAATGACAGACCCAAGGATATTGCTCTGAAGTAGAATGCTTCCCTAGCATAAGTGAAGCCCTGGGTTTGATCTCCAGCACTGCAGAATAAACAAATGAATAAAATTAAGTAAGTAAAAATAATAGTAAGATACAGAATTTGAAGGTATTGGTCAGTGGTGGTGCCGTTGCCTAGCGTGCACAAAGCCCTGGGTGCACACCCCAACACCAGAGAAAGGAAAAATAAATAATAAAAATTAAAAAAGGAGAAGAATATGGTGACAAGGTAAGGGGCTGGAGTTTGTCTGAGTGTGGTGGTACTGACGGGACTGGGGCAGGAGGGTCCTTGAGATTTTGAGGCCAGGGCTGGGGATTGAGCTCAGTGGCATAAGCACTTACCTGGCGAGGCTGAGGTAGTCTCTAGAGACTTTGAGGCCAGCCTGGGGTACCTAGTGAGATCAAGGCCAGCCTGAACTACATAGGGAGACTCTGTTTTAAAAAGAAGGAGAAGGGGCGGGTGGATGGAGAAGGTGGAGATTGATATGGAGAAAGAAAAGCAACTGGATTTAAAGGCAGAAAGACAGCACTGAGGCCTGGTTTTGCTGTCTACTTGCTGGGCTCTCACTATGCAGTTCAGGCTGGCTGCGCACTCGTGGTGATCCTCCTGCCTCAGCCTCCCAAATGTTGGGATCACAGGTACGTGCCACAAGCCCAGCTGCTGGGTGTCCTTTAAGCAGGTGGCTCAAGTCTTCTGGTCTCAGTTCCTTATAAAGTAGAAGTAGAATAGTGACACACAAACCCATAGGCAGATGTGCTGGGACAAGAGAAGGACAGATAACACCTCGTAAAGCTCTGGCCCCACAGCGGCTCCTGTCCCCTCCCCTCTGGACTGAGCAGGTCCCTGCCTGCCAAGGACCCTGGAGTTTCTGTCTCTCTGTCTCTCTCTTTCCACACTGTTCCCATCTCCAGTAACTGACATCACCAGTACCCAATGAGCAGGAATCTGGGCTATGCCGGAAAAACCCCACCATGCACACAGGGAGGCTGCCTTTCCAGCTAGCTGGCCCCTCGGGAGCCCTGGGCTCATGGGGCTCCTGCACCCACCTCTGCCCTCCTTCCCTCCATCCACTGCCCGTGTCACGGCAGGACTGGCTCCGAGGTCTTGGGCCACGTCATGTGGCTGCACAGCCCCTAGAATCCAGCCCCCGTCTTCCATGCCCTCCCAGCGCCTCCCCAGTTGGGTTCCTCCTTTTCTCCAGCCACATCTGGCCCGACTCTTCCTCACTCTCCCAGGCTGGCCTTGAAATCACTGCAATCCTCCTGCCTCAGCCTCCCAAGCTCCAGGCTCATCATGCCTCGCCCATGATTTTTTGAAGCCAGCTCTCTAGAGGCCTCTCCATTCCCGTCCTCCTCAGTCACAGTCTTGGCTTGTGCTGTGCCCTGGGCCCGGGACCACCCACTTGGTGGGCATTTGGCGTTTGTGTGGGTAACCCTCAGCCATCTGTCCTTGCGATTGCAGGGCGCCAAGCAGCGTTTATCCCTGGCTACCACCTCCCATGGCACACTCTCCTGCAGTTGTGAGGGTAGAAACTGTCTCCTGAAACCTTGCCGGTGCCTGCAGAAGAAATGGCAGAACTGGGACCCCTGCCCTGGCCTGGCCTGGCTGGTGGGCAGCCTGCTTCATTTCCGTGCGGACCTTTGAGTGGCTTCATGCGTGGAGTCCACCTGGCTTGGCCTCCCTGCTCCAGGCTCGCAGCTTCCACGAAACTTCCCTGTGCAGGGATAGCAACGTGTGTCCAGGCAGTAGCGTTTGTCTGCTGAATGGTGCTCAGCTCAGGGCACCAAGGGCAGGGACAGGTGACCTGACTCAGGGCACTGTCACGGGAGGGTTTGTAATCGTGACTCCCACGATGGCTTCTTGCAGGATGATATGCAGCCAGCTGAGGCTGCCCCGCGGCTCTGTTCTAGCCCAGACTCCCATCATTTGGGGTTTTCCTGCTCGACCTTCAGCCCTCTCCATGGCCTCCCAGGTGCTGAGGCTGTAGCTCAGTGCAAAGGCCCGGGGTTCAAACTCCAGTATCATCAAAACCAAACAACAAATAATCAAAAACCAACACCTCAGGGTATTGTGCAGGCTAGGCCAGGCACACAACTAAGGTCACTAACTACACACTGGGAGATTGCTACCATTTTAAATGGTTGAAAAAAGAATAACAGTAAATGATAGTAATTGAGGAGTATATGATATGCTAATCTTAGTGTTTATAAATAAAGTTTTATTGGAACATACCCATGCTCATTTATTTGTATAACATCTTGTTTCAACACAGTGACTCCAAAAGCAAGATTATATAACAGTATTTTATAACAGTATTTTTCTTTCTTTCTTTCTTTCTTTCTTTCTTTCTTTCTTTCTTTCTTTCCTTCTATGTCTTTGTTCCTTTTCTGTTACTAGATATCGAACCTGGGGCTTTTGGACTGAGCTCTATCCCAACCCTTTTTACTTGGTTTGAGTGGTAGAGTCTTGCTAAATTGCTAAGTTGTCCAGGCTGAACTTGGTCTTGCTATCTTCTGCCTCAGCCTTCCAGGCATGCGCCACTGTGCCTAGCAAGCAATATTTATTTTCTGTCCCTTTTAAGGAAAAATTTTGCCTAGCCCGACTGTAAAGCAAAGGGTGGCCACTACTACGTTACAAGTTCAAATTTACAAGACTGTCTGCGGTGCAGTTACAGTTACATCCAGTAAGAACCAGAAAAAGAAAAAACCATGTGGACCAGTTATTTGAAGGGGAAGCTATGAAGGTGCTAAGTAGGTGTAGCAACAAGAGTTTAAAAGCTGTTTCCAGCTAGAGTGGCACATACCTGAAATCTCAGCTAATTGAAAGGCTGAGGCCCGAGGATCACAAGTTCAAATCCAGCCTGGGCAATTTAGTGAGATCCTGTCTCAAAATAAAAAACAGAAAGGGCTAGGACTGTAGCTCAGTGGTAGAGTGCTCCTGGATTTAATCCTCTATATGCCAAAAACAAACATATTAATGTTGCTTTGAAACAGAAAAAAGCTACAGGGTGCTAGGCGTGATGGTACGCATCTGTGATCCCAGCACTCGGGAGGCTGAGGCAGGAGGATTGCTGCAAGATCAAGGCCATTCTAGGCTACAAAGTGAG